GGTGGTAGCGGTGGGAGTAGCGGTAGAAGTCGTAGTCGTTGTCGTTGTCGCAGTGCTTGGGGATATACTAGGGCCTTCTTGGCGATATGTGGAGACATCTTGGGGATATACTAGGGCCTTTTGGGCGATATGTTGGAGGTCTCGGAGCCCTTTGCGGGCTCTCCGGGGCGCTCTTAGGGCCCTCTTGGGGCTCTTTGGGAGGGGTCTGGGAGGTATCTTGGGGCCATCTTTCGGGCGATCGATCACAGATGGGGCGAGCATTTTTCTCCCCCCCCCCGTCGGGGCCACGATCCTCGTGAGGGGTGTCGAATTTTAGCCCTCCCAGGAGTCGAAAAAGACCCCTTCCGACCACCCGCGGAAGGACCTCTCCAGGCCCAGGGGGAGGGGGGAGGGGGAGGGGTAAACCCCTCCCCGAAGGGGAAGAAGGGGGTTGAGAACAGAGCGGGCTCTCTAAACCACTCACGCCCAAAGGGCTGGTGGGATTTCCAGGCCTCCAAAAACACCCTGTTTGCCTCCAGGGTGCCCTGGGTTTCTTGGGTGGGCTGTTTTACAGTGGAACTGCGTGACGCTCCCGCACCAGAGATCGAGGGATGTCCTGTGGTCTCAGGGTTGGGTTTCTTGTGGAAGGTTTCTTGTGGTCGGGCCCCTACTGTTTTCACTGCGTCTTGGAGTTTCGGGCGCCCGGGCTCCGAGGCTCTTGGGCAAAGGTCGTCGTCGTCGTCGTAGTCCTCGTCGTCCTCATCCTCGTCGTCGTCGTCGTCGCCGTCCGCGTCGTCGTCGGCATCGTCGTCGTCGTCGTCGTCCTCCTCGTCGTCGTCGTTCTCGTCGTTCTCGTCGTCGTCGTCGGCGTGCATGGCTGTGAGCTCGGGCTCGGGGGTGTGCCAGAGGTGCTGGGTCTTGGAGGTTCGGGTTCCCTTCCTCCGATACCAGGGGCGCCGTGCATGTGGATAAAACAAGTTCGCCCCCAAAGGTCAGATTTGTTATTCATGTCCACTGCGTCTTGGAGTTTCGGGCTCCCTTCCTCCGATGCCAGGGGCGCTACGGATGTGGATAAAATAAGTTTGCCCCTAGAGGTCTGATTTTTGTCCATATCCACTGCGTCTTGGAGTCTTCGGGCTCCCTTCCTAAGACACCAGGGGCGCCGTGGATGTGGATAAACAGCCGCGGCTTGTTGGCGACCCTTCTCGGAAAATACAAGACGCGGTGGATATGGATAGAAATCGTGCCCGCAAAAGGGTTGGTGATGATGGCGAGGCTTCGGGCTGCGCGCAGACAGCCCTCCCCAGGCACGGTGGGGGCGTCGGCTAACCCCGAGATCCTGGCGTCTCATTTTGTTCGAGCCGGGCGTTTTCGCATTTTTGTTTCGGGGTCTGGGGCCCTCGCAGATCGATCCGGCTCGAAAAGTGATGCAGAAAGATGGGGTCCTGGGCTCTGGGCGTGATTTTTTACGATGTTGCAGTTTTTCTTTGCGTCGGATCTCAGAGAATGTGCCCACGAGGCTTCCTCGTTTGATGAGGGCGGCCACCAGCTTCCAGACCCTGGATTCCTTGTCCACTTGTTCCTTATCCGGTGCCCTCACCGTGCCCATCGGTCGTTGAAAGTAGGTATCTCTGGAGTCCCAGATTCCACTCTACTTTTTGCCCCTTCCTACTTCAATGATCGAGTGGCTTCCCCTTTTCCGTCCTCTTTAGGGAGCGGGCGGAGACCCAATCTGCCTCAACGCCTTCCTGCTCCATGTTTCCACCTGCTTCTTCCGACCGATGGGTAGCCCCGGCTGGCCTCAACAGGCTCCCCGAGTAGCTCCAGCCGGCCTCGGCAGTCCCGGGCGGTCTCGGCACTCTGGCGCCGCCTCCGGCAGCACCCCTTGGGCGCCGCCCGCCCCAGGCCAGGGTTGGGGCGCTGAGGCCGCCCCAGGCTGTTCGGAAGGGAGCCTGCTGCGGCCAGGGGGTGCCTGTTGAGGCCAGCTGGGGCTGCCTAGCTGGGCTGTGCGCAACGCGAGGACCTACCAGGTGATGATGGGGGGGGCGTCATCATGGCCAGGGCTGGGATGCGGCCAGGGGCTCTGCGCGTCCGAGTTGGATCGGCCAAGAGGGAAAGACGAGGGCAAGTTCGCTCAAAATCGGTCCCCGGACAGGTTGAAACTGATCAGTTTTCCGAGCCGCGTCCAGCCGTGGCAACGAGGGAGCCGCTTTGTCCCCCTGGTCTGCTGGCTGGAACCGGTGCTGGACCACCTCAGCCCCACAGCCCGCTCCAAGCTAGGGCCATGACCTCTCCCCCAGATTTCCATGGCCCCCTTTCTTCTTTCAACTCGCCTCCTGGTCCCCACTGGGCCGCGAACATGCCTTGGGCCATTATTTGCGACCCCCCCTCCTCCTCCTCCTCCTCCTCCTCCTCCTCTTCCTCCTCCTCCTCCTCTTCCTCCTCCTCCTCCCCTCCTCCTCCTCCCTCCTCCTCCTCCTCCTCCTCTCCTCCTCGATCCTCGATCCTCCTCCTCCTCCTC